TGCCTCCCCTGGGGGTCCTGCAGGATCCCGCCCCAGCAGGCCCCGAGCCTCAGGGCCCTGGGCACACAGCTGAAGGCCCAGCTGGGGGCAGGTGGCCTCACCCAGCGCCTCACCCACTGCCTCCTCCCTCTGGGCTGCCACTGGGCAGCCACCTCTTAATTAGCAAAACAAACAGCACGATGATAAATGTCAGATTTACTCAACAAATGATCAAAACCACTGTTTTTGCAGACCCCGGGGCGATCAAATGCCCTCACCGGTGATTTCCTCCAGGCAGGTGGGCTCCGGTGGCGGCAGGCGGGGTGTGATATTTGGGAGGAGACTGAACCCGGCTGTGTCCAGATGGAGGAGGCCAGGCATTTCGGGTGCCCTTCCTGACAAACCCCCTCCCTGAGACGAAGCTCAGGGGGCCCTTTCCACACACCTGGGGCACATACACAGCCACGCACAGGGTGAACCCCCAGGTCGGAGGTGGGGCATCTGACTCAGGGCACATCTCAGGGTGCCCCACAGCACCCAGGAACAAAGCGGGTTTAGTCAGTGACTATTCCTAATACATAGGAGGGAAAGAGGAGGGGGCAGCTCTCCCCACCAGCGTCAGCCTCAGTGTGGAAGGAGTGCAGGCTTCGAACCAGCGACCGAGGCCGGAGGAAAGTCAGTTCCCAACCCCCACCCTCATTCCCACTTTGCTAACGGAAAGCTCCCGCTTGAAGTCAGGCTGCCCCACAGCCTTGAACCCAAAGCTCGTGGGTGCCTCACGTGCTCCCTGCCCCGTCCCTCATCCCCAGGGAGTCGTGCTGTCATCTACGTCAGCCCCACGTCAGGGAGAGAAGGGCCCCGACCCTCCCCAGTCATCCCAAAGCCCAGCGTTGCCTGGCAGCGTGTCTCTTGTGATAAAAAGAGAAAGGAAAATCAACCTTCTCATTTTATTTTATTTCAACTGAATTGTCCAGAACAAGAACTTTGTTCTCAGAGTAGAAAGAAAATGGTTTCCACCGTGTCCCAAAATGACAGTAAGAATAATCCACGTTACTGTTATTTCAAACCTGTCCTTCGAGAGACGTACACCCTGTTCCTGCAGGGGCTGCTACCCGGCGAGATCCCTGTGCTCACGCCACTCCCAGATCCCCTCTCCTCCAGGGGAACCCCGCTTCTGAGCTCAGAGTGGCCACAACACCACGCTCCTGGCCACCACGTAGGGAGGCCAAAATGACACCGATCCTTCTCGGATTTTGTTTGTTATCTTTGCTAAAATGTCATTACTTGTTCTTTTTCAGTAAATAAATACTCTGGACATTACAGTAAAATCAAATCACTCTGATTCATAATACTTAATTACCAGTGTGAAAGTGAACAATTATACACACGAAATTCAGGACCATCAGAGATAACACACACGCATGGGCCATCCCAGGCCTGACCTGGAATCCCACTGGCATGACGCTGGCACCCATGTTTTTCTCTGACCCAGGCCTGACCTGGGATCCCACTGGCGTGACACTGGCACCCCTGTTTTCCTCTGACCCAGACCTGACCTGGAATCCCACTGGCGTGATGCTGGCACCCCTGTTTTCCTCTGACCCAGGCCTGACCTGGAATCCCACTGGCATGACGCTGGCACCCCTGTTTTCCTCTGACCCAGGCCTGACCTGGGATCCCACTGGCGTGATGCTGGCACCCCTGTTTTCCTCTGACCCAGGCCTGACCTGGGATCCCACTGGCGTGACGCTGGCACCCCTGTTTTCCTCTGACCCAGACCTGACCTGGAATCCCACTGGCGTGACGCTGGCACCCCTGTTTTCCTCTGACCCAGGCCTGACCTGGAATCCCACTGGCGTGACGCTGGCACCCATGTTTTTCTCTGACCCAGGCCTGACCTGGGATCCCACTGGCGTGACGCTGGCACCCCTGTTTTCCTCTGACCCAGACCTGACCTGGAATCCCACTGGCGTGACGCTGGCACCCCTGTTTTCCTCTGACCCAGGCCTGACCTGGGATCCCACTGGTGTGACGCTGGCACCCCTGTTTTCCTCTGACCCAGACCTGACCTGGAATCCCACTGGCGTGACGCTGGCACCCATGTTTTTCTCTGACCCAGGCCTGACCTGGGATCCCACTGGTGTGATGCTGGCACCCCTGTTTTTCTCTGACCCAGGCCTGCTCTGATCGAGCTCACTGCAGAGGTGTGGAGGGAAAAGGGCTAGCAGGGCCGCCTGGTTGGTGTGAGTGGCTTGGGAAGGGGACTCAGCAGAAGGTGCTTCTCGTGTCTGGAACTACAGAGGGATCCCAGCCCTGAAGCCTGGTGCTCCTTTCCTGTCTCAGGCCCCTGTTCACGGCACTCGGAAGACAGGCCAGGCAGTTGGCAAGAGGAAGAAATCCTCAGAGAAAGGGGCACCCGCAAGTCACTTCTCCCTCCAGGGCCACCTCGGGGAAGGCAAAAACCCAAAGGGAAATGGCAATCAGCTCTTTCGGGACGCGTGGAAAATTCTGGGAAGGTGGCTTAGGGGAAGATGTCACTTTTTCTGCCCAAAGGCCCCAGCTGAGGTGGCTGGAGGTGGGGAGAAACCTCCTTGATTGACGGACATCGCTCATTTCAGGCAGTTGGGGCTGCCACCTAATTTCCACCCCCTGCTTCCTCCTCTCTGTCCTTCACAGAGGAGGTGGTGGCTTCCTGCCCAGTTCCAATGTCAGCTCCCGAAGGCACCGACGCACATGGCTGCCCCCTGCCCCATCTCATGGAAGTGACAAAACCCAAAGGTGGCCCCAAAGCCAGGGAGTTGGTGCCCGAACGCACAAGGAAAACAAGGTCGGGCGAGATCCTGCCGGGTGCGCGGGGAGCACCGTTTGAGGGCGTCGGGGGGAGAGTAAATATTTCTAAGCACCAGCAGGAGGGGTATCTGTCAGGTGGCCACCGTGGAACAAAGCCCTCCGCAGAAACGGGAGGTGCACTGTGGGGAGAGCGCGTTCCCTCACGTACACACACACCAGGGATAAACACACCGCAAAGTCAACAGGCAGCGGCAGGCAGCGGCGCAGCCTGCACCGGGCCTGGCACCACACGGACATCGTGATATGGGCCATTTCTCTTTTTTAAAAAAAAGCAAATAGAAACTTGTATCAGAGTACCCAAGAACAAAGTCACCTGAAGGTCATCCAAAGTGCTACCTGCAGGGCCCCTGGACCTCTCACATCCACAAGCCACCTCCTAATTAAACAGTCCAGACCTTTCTAAGTGTGAGGGACACACACCCTTGAATTCCTTTCCCACACACCAGGGAGGGCGGGACAGGGCGCTTCTGCCAAAGTCACTTCCACTGCACAACCAAAGACGAATGTTGCTACCAAAATGCTCTCCTTGGTCCCATGAGGGGCCTGTAGGGCCATGAAGCTGGGCAGTGTCTCCACCGAGGTCTTCTACTCCAAACTCTCTCCCTGTCCTGTCTAACTGGTGCCCCTGGCTCCTGGCCAGTCCCTCCTGAAGGTAACCTGACCTTGGGCCCACACTCACTGTCCTCTGCCTCTCGATGGAGGGGGGTGGTGCGCCCGGCCCACAGGTGCTGCCCGTAGAGCTGCGGCTCCCACCCTGCTGGATGGCTGCGGACTCTGCCACATGCTTTTCTTCAGGCACCGGGACCCCCATAGCTCTATAATTAGCGGAGGGGGGAGCTTTAAGCTGACACTCAGGGAACAGCTTCTGAGTCTCCCTATATCCTTGACGAGGAGCCACACAGGACTCTGTGAGCTACCAAGGACCACACCTGCCTGCTGGGAGCTGCCGAGGTGCCCTGGTCTTGCCCAGGGAGGATGCACTTAGCTCTGCAGGGTGCAGGCAGCCTCTGGCCCCCAGGCTGTCAGTGTTCTTACAAAGGGCTCTTAATGCCGTCAGCCCAGGGAGGTGCTCAAGGGCTGCTGGAGGCCACAGGGGCCTCCCCAGGGCCCATCTGAGTTGGGGCAGGCCTGATAGTGAGCATGGAACTGGCTGGGGACTTCTCCAGAGTCACGAGCGGCCAGGAGAGGAGGTGGGCAAGACGCAGGATCCTGCCCCCATCCATCTGGGGTTCCTCTTCCCTGCTCAGGCCATTTGCCCATGAGGAGCCTACCTCCATCTGGGCACTTCAGAGGCTGGGAGGCACAGGGGAATCTGCCCGGTGTTCCCATTTTCTACCCAAGCAGCAGCCCTGCCAAAAAGACCACCGACAACTGGCTGTGTGGGGCCTGCAGAAAGGCCAGGGCCCACCAGGAAGTACACTTTGTGTGGGGGGTGGGGCTCTTAGTCCCCATGGGACCACTCGAGGGCCCCCAACACCGGTGTCTCGCGTCCCTCACAGCCTGGGCAGGATGCTCTGGGTGCTCCCCGCTCAGAGCCGTCCCAGGGACGCCCTGTCTCCTGACCCCTGCAGCAGGTTCACCAGGCCAGCTCCAGACCCTCTAAGGCCGGTCACATCGTGGTGGGAAAATTTAAACAGTCAGCCATCCCTTCCAGGACAGGGCCTGTGCCCCTGGAGCTGGAGAAGCTCGGGCTACTCTCAGGCCACTGGCTGACCGGGGCAGGCGGGGAAGGTGGCAGCCGGGGCAGCGTGGCCACCAGGTGTGATTTGTGAGCTGCTTCACATTGCCGTGGCCTGGAATGAAGCCCTGGAGTGCAGCTGCCTGTTCTGGGACTTTCTATGAATCTCCCTGCCCCGCCACGATGGCCGCGTTCACGCCTGGGATCCGGCGGGAAGCATGGGATGTTTTAAGACATGAGCTCATGAAAGACACATTTCCGGGAGAGAGTGGGCGTGCCCTACAGGGCTGACAGGCACCCACGAGGACCTCTGATGCTTTCTGAGTCCCGTCAGGCGAGCTGCAGGATAAAATAGGCTGGGAAATGTGACATTTGAACGCTCTCTCTGGCCACGCCTCCCGCCTCGGGCAGTGGCTGCTCAGCCCGGCTTTATAAATAGATGGAACACAAGATAAATGGCCGTGATCAATCATGCTCAGGCGCGATTGCTCACCTCCCATCCGAAGTCCATCTCCTTCGCCGCCGCCCGGGGCACCACCACGCAGGGGCCCAGCCTCTCCCCGGCTTCCATCTTCCTCTTGGCCCAGACCCCCAGGCCGGCCCCCGGGATGGAGGACTCTCGGAGCTCGAAGTCCGGTGGGATCGGAATGTCTTCAGGAATGTAGACCGGGGCCTCGTACGGCGAGCCCTCCTTGGGGGTGAAGTCCTCGCTGGTGGGGAAGGGGGACGGTGGCCCCACGGGGATGGGCGACATGGCACTGTCCTCGGCCTCGTCCTCTGCGCTGTGGCCGGCCAGCAGGTCCCGGTCGGGTTCATACATATTATTTACAACGTCACCGTCACCTAAAGGAGACAACGCAGCGTCAGCCTCTGCAGCACGTGCCCCTCCCGGGGTGTACGGCTCAGGGAGTGCCGGGGACTCGGGCGTCAATGGGGACCGAGGGTGCTCAGGGACCCAGAAGGCCCGGCTGCCACCTCTGCCTGGGATATGCCACCTCCGCTCCACCCTGAGCCAAGCTGCCATCATTCCACGTCAGAGGCTCCGGAGGATGGGATCCCGCCAGGCTCCACTGGGGCCAACCTTTCTGATGGGGTGGCACAGCCCAGCACACCCTGGCTCCCCCAGCCTGGCTCCCCCAGCCTGGCTCCCACAGCCACCTGAGGATGCGCCGGCTGGTCCCGCCCTAGGGGAACTAGGGAAGGAGCTGCCAGTGCCTGGCAAGCTTGGCGACAGCCGGTGAAGCCGTCATGCGTGGCAGCTGACCCAGGGCTGGCTGATGGTGAAATATTTGCACCGGAATATTTCAAATGTCCTCTGTAGTCTTGGAAATCACGGATGGCAGAAGTCCTAAGTGCCTGGGAGGACTCAGAATTTGGGTGACTGTGAAATGTGCTCAGTGCTGCTTCCTTGCACTTAGGCCGCAGCCTGGACATCCCCACACTGAGGCCACAGCCTGGACATCCCCACACTTAGGCCACAGCCTGGACATCCCCACACTTAGGCCGCAGCCTGGACATCCCCACACTTAGGCTGCAGCCTGGACATCCCTGCATTTAGGCCACAGCCTGGACATGCACTGGGGTAGGGCTGGCTGGGTCTTGGGGAGGCTCATGGAAGTTCCTGATGATCTCGACACAGGCTAGGAATAGGCCTGCTGACGTCACGGATGTCGGAGTCATGGGGCCCCAGGTCACCCTGATGATCTCGACACAGGCTAGGAATAGGCCTGCTGAGGTCACAGATGTCGGAGTCACAGGGCCCCAGGTCACCTTGATGATCTCGACACAGGCTAGGAATAGGCCTGCTGAGGTCACGGATGTCGGAGTCATGGGGCCCCAGGTCACCCTGATGATCTTGACACAGGCTAGGAATATGCCTGCTGAGGTCATGGATATCGGAGTCATGGGGCCCCAGGTCACTGAGCTGAGCAGTAAGAGGGTGCCCAGTTTGTCTGTCTGGGGTAGACCTTTGGGGTCCATCCTAACAGAAGGTGGGTGCCAAGAGAGTGTGTGCGTGCAGCTGAAACTATAGCAGAGAGTAGCCCGAGGCACTGGGGGAGATGGGCAGGGTGAGGGGGAGTCTGGACAGGAAGAAAAGCAAAGCTCTCCACCGAGTGCAGCCAAACCAGGACTCAGGCAGGCGAATGTTCACCGTGGCAGATTCACCATCGCCGGAAGGTAGAAACAGCCCAAACATCCGTCTTCGAGGGAATGAGGGAGCAAATGAGTAGTGGATGGTACCACCCTCTCCAAGGAGGAGCACGGCCTGGACCAGCCCTGGACATGCGGCACTCGGCGTAGGAAGCCGATGCAGAGGGTCACACCTGTGGCACCATCCCTCCCCAAGGAGGAGGGCGGCCCTGGCACGCACAGCCTGGACCAGCCCCGGACATGCGGCACTCGGCGTAGGAAGCCGATGCAGAGGGTCACACCTGCCTGGCGGCGTTTAGGTGACTCATCGGGCACAGGCCCCCAGAGACAGACGCAGGTGGGAGGCTTCGAGGACTGGGGTGGGGGTGACAGCGAGAAGCCCAGGTCTCCTTTCGGGGTGATGAAGTGTCCGGGAACTAGAGAGGGAGTGGTCGTACCTCTGGGTGAACGGCTCAGTGCCGCTGAATCGCCCCCTTTACAGTGGTTGAATTCTGCCTCGATAACATAGAAAAGGCAGATGTGAGTGTTAGTTAGGTGGGGAGCAGCGGGAATGGGCAGGAGGTGGGGTGAGCTCCGTCACCGTGACCTGATCTAGATCTTTCCACGCAAGCCCCTCCTTCTGTGGCTGCCTCGAAGACCCGGTCCCGCTGGCCCTCGCCTCCCGGCCCCCGCCCCGCACCCTGACGTTGGCTGGGCACACAGAAGCCTCCAAGGAGACCAGAACTTTTAAGTACAGGGAAAATGACTTCAGATTCCTCACACTGGTTGCAAACAGATCAGCACAAGAAAGAGCAAAATGCTTTCTTTCAAAAGAAACCAAAGTCTTGGGGGGAAAAGTCGCAAGGAAAACACTTATTTAATTTATCAGCATTCAGAGAAGTAATTATTATGTTTTAAGTGGCCAACGGGTCCTTTCTAATTGACGCGGCGGATCCTTTCAGAGACGCAGCCACAGAACTGCCGCTGTTGTTCCTCCACCCTAAAGACCTGAAGTTGTTTAGGTTTGAAAGAACACCCCCATAACCCCCGCCCCACTGACTGTGTGCAGCATAAAGGTAAATTAGGGGGGGGGTAATTAACATGGCATCTTATTATTTGGAACTGGTAACTGCACGGAGCTCGCAAACAAAGTCGGGTTGGAAGCCAAAGCTCCCCCATGCACTCCTTAACTCCTCTCGGGCGTGGGCGCCTCCGCCTGAAGCACAAGTAGGAATTAGAACCCCAGGTGTTTCTGGGAGTTCCGCTGGAGCCCGAAGTGGGGCAGTGTCCCTATCAAGTGCATATCCGTTGCAGGGCTCTGTTTAAAACATGGCTTTTTTCTGTTTGAATTCTACTTCCCAAAACCCCTGACCCGCTGGAGGAAAATCAACGCTTTAAGGGCATGTTTAATTTACTGGCCAAGCAAACAGCTTAGGAGAGAAAGGTAGTGTTTCCTGCTGATTAAAGGGAGGTCTGTGCATCGGGCCCCGGCCTCCCTTCCCCGGCGGTCACAGGGGTTAAGCGATTGCCCACAGCCTCCAGGAAAAGCCCGTCTCATTTTGCTGTCCCCGTTGCTGGGGTAGAGGGAGCTCTTCTTTCAAGGGTGGGTGAGAGGAGGGCTAATTAGTGTGCAGAAAACACGGTGAGAAAATGAGGTGCAGAGAATAGCCCTAAAGCCCAGAGAAAGCAGGAAGCCTGCACAGAGGCTCCAGCAGGGCCTGGGCCCACAAATCGCTCGCTGCCCTGCACAGAGGCTCCAGCAGGGCCAGGCACAAATCGCTCGCTCTCTGGGGTCCCCGGGGCAACCAGAGCCGGGAAATCAGGCTCAGCACTCCTCTGCCCTGAGCTCCAGCCAGGATGCCCCTGAGAGGGTCAGCAAGGTCAGGAGGCTGCCCAGTCCTCTACCCTGCTGGACAGGCTTGTTCTGGACGTGGGCATCTTTTCACTGAGGTTCCCAGACCCTACTGCCCAGGCCTCCATGACACGGGGGTGCATTTCTGGCAGGCATTCTCTCGCAGGTCAGCGTGCAGGGCCAGGATCATGTATGACTTTGGAGATGCAGGCTGTGTAACAACATGCAATTGACTTGTCAGGAGACCTGACATCCTTTATTTGGGATTGCTGTGATCTCATTCCAGGGTACTGAGGCCATCATTTCTAGAATTTCTATGGGGAGACCTACGGAATTATAAAAGCAAGGAGGGGAGTGGGGATACAGGGAGCTCAGGAGGGAAGAGGCAGACTTGGCCAGCAGGGAGCTGAGTGACCCCGAGTCGGGGCCAAGGCCACCCCTTTCTGCCCGTGAAGAATCTGCCAAGCTGCCAGTTCCAGCCGAGTCTGTGTTCTCAGCCAGCGATCTTCACGGAGAGGCCCCGCTTTGAGTCTTGTCACACACACGTATGAGCGATAGTCATTTGATCACATAATACAAGTCAGGGAGGTGAAGAAACCCTGCTTCTGCCTCAGGCTGGGACAGAGGCCGAGCTGGCCAGGAGCCCACGGTGACCTCAGCCCCTCACACTGCCCCTGGGCTCCACTACAACCCTTGGTTTAGGGCTGAGTCTCTCTCAGCCTCACAGTGGATTTCTTCTTCTGCACCCCTCACCCAGGCTGTAGGAAATCATCCCGGAACAGAGGCCACCCCCACCATCTCCCAAGAGAGCCATGTCTAGAAAGCAAAGCTATGGCCAGGGTTTTGGGGTCTGGAGAGACAGAGAGAAGAGGCCACAGATCAGGACCACTGTGCTAAACCAGCCAAGACAGGGGCCCAACAGCCAACAGAGGGTCCCTCATCACCGTCCACCTGGGGCTGGCCCTGCCAGGGCCACACGAGCAGTGCCCTCACAGGGGGATTATCAACGTGACGATCCATTCCCCGAAGCCTGAGCGCTGGGCGGCTCTGTGGCAGGGATGGGCAGATTTCAGCCTAGATTCTTGGCCGGAGGGAGTACACGGGGGTTTTTTGGAGTCGGTATCTGCCTGGCTGTGCTTCCTCCTTCATCATGTGGTTAGAAGGAGAAGCCATGAGGCCTGCAGGCCCCACTGGGCAGGAAAGAGGCACCGTGCGGCAGCTGGCCGGGAAGGGCGGTCCCCGGAGCGCACGTGAGGGTGAGCATCCCGTGCACATCTGTGTGTAAGCATGTGTAAGACCATGTGTAAGACTGTAAGACTGTGTGTGTAAGACCATGTGTAAGACTGTATGTATAAACATGTTACTGCGTGTGTAAGAGTGTAAGACTGTGTGTAAACATGCTACTGCGTGTGTAAGTGTGTAAGACTGCATGTGTAACCATGTTACTGTGTGTGTAAGAGCATGTGTAAGCATTATAAGACCGTATGTAAGACCGTAAGACAGCATAAAACCGTGTGTAAGAGTGCATGTGTAAGCATGTGACTGCGTGTGTAAGATCATGTGTAAGCATGTGTAAGACCGTGTGTAACACCGTGTGTAAGACTGCGTGTGTAAGCAGAGGGCCTGGTCAGGAACCTGAAAAGGTGTCCAGGGCAACCTCAGCTGACCCCAGCCTCTATGTGGCCTCTCAGTTGGGAAACCTGTTCTCTTCTGTCTGGAGAACCGTCAGGAGGAAGGGTCTCCCGTCTGCTGGGTGAGGGGCTGAAGTTTGGGCCCCCTTGCCTCCCTCCCTCAGGGGCGAGGTGGTGAATGGCGCTTGGCTGCCCCGGGCTGTCATCGTCCAGGCCCCATGCGGGCTCCC